GCTTTCTGTCTCTATGTCTCTCTCTGTCTGTCTGGAGAGCGCAAGTGCCCTATAGCAAAAACCTCTCCAAAAAAAAAAGAAAAGAAAATGTGTCTTTTTTTGGATTTTTTAAAATTCTTTTTTCTATACAGCAAGTGCATTCACGTGAAAGAGAGAAAGAGAGAGAGATGACTACACTGCAATCCTTTCTCCTCCTTTTTAGGCATGCACACACACACATGCACAGAATGTTTTTCATACCACCAGGTGCAGGACTTCAACTACAGAGTCAGCCATGTGGGATCCAGCCATCTTAATCACCATAATACCAGCTGGCTCAAGACAGCTTTCCTTCAACCTCTCTCACCACAAATCTCAAGTTTACTTTTTAACCTTCTGCCCTAATTTTAGTTAGGTCAATATTCAAGATTACATTGTTATAAAATCTAAACATTATTTAAACATTTCTACTTACAGTCATGACAGAATAGATGATAATAGACTAGGCATTCTACTATCAGTAATATAAAACCAGAAAAAATATATGAAATAATTGTTTTAGACACTGAACAGCTGGCAATGAAAGCAAGGCTGTGACCTCTAAGAGAAAAAGAGAAGGATGAAAACCATGATTGTTCAGCTTTCTTCTATTCCATAAATTATTGGGCTCTGGCACTGGGTCCAACAGTCACAGTGAGCAAAGGGGTCAGGGATCAATATTTGAAGAGGCTGAGGCAACTGAAATTTATAGGGTAAAATAGCACAAAGAGAGTTAGCCTCCCTCAAGACAGCTCCCTGGGACCAGCAGTTAGCATAATGGCTATGTCGCTGGACTCCCACATAGTCGAGCACGGTTCGCGTCCCAGACCAGGTGGCTTAAAACTCATGCCGGGCACGTGTGTGTGCCTGCCCAAGATCCCGAGAGGAGAATGGAGGAGAAGGGGTTGTGGTGTGGCCATCCCCCCGGGGGGTGATTTCTTGCTTTCTGTCTCTCTGTTTCTCTCTGTCTGGCGAGCACACACGTCCTATAGCGAAAATCTCTCAAAAAAAAAAAAAAAATTACCCTTTGTGACACCAACACAAAAATCCTTCTGAAAATAGAAAAAAAGTAATACAGGCCAGCAGGTGACTAGACACTAAAGCAGCTAGATCCTACATGGCTGGCTGTTCAATTTGAGTCAGGGACTCGGTGTCTTGAAAAACACGCCAGGCATGCATACATGCATGTGCTCAGAATCCTGAGAAAATGGAGAAGGGACTGTAGCATCATCATCACCCTTGAGCATGATTTCTCACTTTCTCTTTCTCACTCGATTTCACTCGCTCTCTCTCTGGCAAGCACATGTACCCTGCAGAAAAAACTTAAAAAATTAAAAATGAAATTTGAAAAAAAGAGAAAAGAGTCGATCAGTAGCAGGAGCAGAGAGAAAACCCCAGAGAGCCCTGAGCATCCCCGCCACAGCCACTGGCGCCACCACTGGCGCCACCACTGGCCTAGTTACCATCACACCCTGAGCCACAGCTGCCTCAGCAGGCCCCAATCACCACCACCATAACCATAAGCAGTGAGGCTGAGATCCAGCAGCTGCCCGCCACCCCTGCCCTCAGCACTTCTGACACCAAGCCTGGCACACCATCGCTACCCACAGTGGCACAGGGAGCGGCAAACTGGGCGGCCTCACATCAGCAGGGCATGGTTCAATGTAAGAAATGGATATGGTTTCATCAACAGGAATGACACCAAGGAAGATGTATTTATGCACCTGACTGCCATAAAGAATAACCCCAGGAAATGCCTTCGCAGTGTAGGAAATGGAGAGACTGGAGTTTGATGTTGAAAGAAGAAAAGGGTGCAGAGGCAGCAAATGTTATAGGCCCTGGTGGAGTTCCAGTTCAAGGCAGTAAACATGCAGCAGATAGTAAGCATTATAGACACTATCCATGTGGTAGGGGTCCTCCACGCAATTACCAGCAAAATTACCAGAATAGGGAGAATGGGGAAATGAACGAGGGATTAGAGAGCACTCCTGAAGGCCAGGCCCAACAACGTCGGCCCTACTGCAGGCCGTTCCCCACTTACTACATGTAGGGTGTAGACCACGGTATTCCAACCCTCCTGTGCAGGGAGAAGTAATGGCAGGTGCTGACAACCGGCGTGCAGGAGAACAAAGTAGACCAGGGAGGTAGTATATGTATTGGGGTTATAGATCACAGTTTCGCAGGGACCCTCCTCACCAAAGACAGCCCAGAGAGGATGGCAATGAAGAGGATAAGGAAAATCAAGGAGATGAGACCCAAGGTCAGCAGCCACCTCAACAACGGTACCGACACAACTTCAATTACCAACGCAGAGGCCCAGAGAACCCTAAACCAGAAGATGGCAAAGAGAGAAAAGCAGCCAATCCACCGGCTGAGAATTCATCTGCTCCAGAGGCTGAGCAGGGCGGGGCTGAGTAAAAGCTTACCATCTCTACCATCATCCAGTTTAGTTATCCAACAAGAAGTGAATATGAAATTCCAGCAATAAGAAACGAACAAAAGACTGGGACCAGCAGTTAGCATAATGGCTATGTCGCTGGACTCCCACGTAGTCAACCGCGATTCGCGTCCTGGACCCGGTGGCTTAAAACTCACGCCGGGCACGTGTGCGTGCGTGCCCAAGATCCCAAGAGGAGAATGGAGGAGAAGGGATTACCGCGTGGCCATCCCCCCGGGGGGGAGATTTCTCGCTTTCTGTCTCTCTCTCTCTCTGTCTGGCGAGTGCATGTGCCTTATAGCAACCCCCCCTCCCCAAAAAAAGAAATGAACAAAAGACTGGAGCTGAAGCCCTTCAGTGACTTCTTTTTGCCCATTGACCAGATAACTAAAACTATCTGCATTATCTATGCAGCATGGGGTTCTTATTTTTACCTAAAGATGTCTCTTTTTTGGTAATGACAAACATGTTTTTTTAAAAAGCCTGGTTTTTCTCAAAACACCTTTAAAGGTTTTTCAATTGTTTCATATCTGGTCAGGTTGAGATTTTTAATAACTTCATTTTTAATTTGTAATAGAAGTTTACAACTTGATTTTTTCAAAAAACGTCAACAAATTGCAAGCACCTATTAATAAAAGTCTTAAATAATGAAGGGAAAAAAAAAAAAGAGCAAAGAGGCCCTTTCTACAAACAAGCAGGTTTCTTTTTGTGGACAAAAAAGCAGGAACTTGCTTCAACCAGCTCCCTACCAACATCTCCAACCTCACGGGATTGACTCTGAAGGTCTTCCCCCTGTAGAGTTGAGTGACATTTAAACAATAGCACTGCTGTTGGCCCCAGGTTCTAGTAGCATTAGCGGTCTTCCTCTGTGTTAATATAATCACTAGGGCTGGTCCTCAGAGACTAAAGATGTGCTGCTGGTCCTTGGTTGAGATGTGCAGCCTCGTAACTATCCATCTGGCATTCAGCATATTCTCTGGCAATAAGCCTGGTCTCAGACCCTGAGACTATGTGCTGCTTTCACTCTGCGCCCTCTCTGACCCACACCAGCCAAGACATAGGTAGGAGCTAGGTCTGGTGGCCAGAAGCTCAAGACATGGGGTAGGAGCTAGGTTTGGTGGCCAGAAGATCAAGCAGAGGTTTTAGGAGATGAGGTTATGTCAGGTCAACAAAAAACCACTCACTCACCCCTGGCCTATCTATAATAACAATAACTACCTCAGCTAAATATTTAACTCAAGACACCTAAAAAGAAGTTGTCTTAAACTTCTTTATTTTCTCAACTGCCAGAGGGCACATGTTCTCACCAGAGAGAGAAAGGGAAACATTAAATAAGCAACTTCTAACTATTATCTTCTGAACCAAGATTTCTCTATCCTTTTAGTAAATATCTTCTTTCCTAGTTTGCACTACAAAATTAAAGTGAATTTCCCCAACATAATACAAAGGGTGTTTTTCCAAATTCAAACCATCCTATCCAAATCTATCTCCTCTCTACTGCTAATCCTCAACAGTGAGCACTGTTGACCATGTCCACCTCCTCAGATCAAAACAAAATTTGAAGCTAACCAGAGATGTTACGTGGTTTTAATACAGCTGGTTAACAAAGCCAAGATTTGTCCACCACTCCCAATGCAGTGCTCTTTCTACCTCCGTATGTCTTAAAAATATAGTGCAACATACAATATCATTTTAAGTTCGTAGATTCTTTCAGTTACTCATACTCATGGGGAGAAATTTATACTTTTAAAAACAGCAAAGTTAAATAACTATAAGACTATTTTGAGGTATTTACCTTTCTACATGCAGGACAAAGCCCATTTTCATCAGTGCGAATTCGATGCCAACAAAATCGGCAAATCTGGTAGCCACAGGTGCAAGGGAAAAAGTTGATATCGTCTATCTCCAAAGGCTCCATGCAAAGAGGGCATTCCACAGGGTCTTCCTTCGCATCAGGACTGCGAGACATCTTCACGGTAATTTAACAGCAGCAAAAGTTTATAATAATTTAAGGGAGAAGAAAATTCAGCACTGAGAGCTAAAATGTAGACCTCTGAAGACCTGCATGAGAAGAAACAAAATATATTGCTTACAACTAGGAAAAATGACATATTCAACAACCAAGAGTAACATCATCAGCGTCAACCCTATAGCTCGTAGCATAGCAGTTAAGTGCTGTTCAGAGGAAGCTAGACCTCCTATGGCTACCCAGGGTTCAAGTCCCAGCACCGCCAACTTGAAAGAAATACTGTACTTGAGGATGTCCAGGATCCTGACGGGAAGAAAAACTAAAGAAAGGATTCTAGTATGGATGAGCTTGACTGGGGCTGCTCACATGTTAGTATCTTTGGATTCAACAAAAATATAAGAGAACTCTTTCTGGGTAAGAGATTCAGTACTAATTTACAGCACTAATTGTAATATATTTTAGGGAAACAAAGAACCATCTTCAGCTTTAAAACATACTCTAAACTGTCTCATCTTTGACCTAAAAGCTAGTAATACTACTACATATTTAAAAGAGTATTATAGTATTCTAAAATGTGTTCCAATTTGCTACACAGACCAAATCAAAGAGATACTTCAATCTTCTATAGTTGCATACTAATATCAAATTCCCATAGAAAACTAAACTTAAACAACACAGGGCCAGCAGGTGGTGTGGAGGTTAAGGTACTAGACTACCACATGGTGGACTGCAATTCAAATCCCAGACCTGATGGCTTGCTTTCTCCTCTCCCTCCTTCTCTCTGTCTCTCTCTGGTCAAAATGAATAACACTAACAATAATAATAAATAAAATTAAATAAACAATTCTAAAAAAAATAATTAGAAGAAGAAGTTGTATCACACAGAGTAACCAGCAGCTTGAAAAACATGCCCATTTTGGAAAACATGTGTGCATGCTCAAAATCCTGACGGGATACAGAAATGGAGAAAAAAGAACTGGGGTATGACCACACCCCAATAGAGGGTTCTCTTATGTGCACCTACAAGCAAACACAACCTCTAGCAAACAAAACAAAAAACTCCTTATCACTTACAAAGTTCTGTATACATTGTTTTGGATTTAGAACCCTACTTTAAAAATGTGTATAGAAGTGCAAAAAAACATAAAATAACACATCCACAATGGAAAATACTTAGTGGTTACTCAAAACGTTAAACACAGAATTAGTATACATATAATCAAACAATTCCACTTCAAGCTCTATACCTAAGAATTGGAAGAAGGGACTGAAAAAACCACTTATACACTAATGTTCACTGCAGCATTATTCAAGATAGTCCTATAGTGAAAATAATCCAAATGTCCATTAGCAGATTGAGAAACAAAATGTGGTATATGCACAGAACAGATATATTATTCAACCATAAAAGTAACTGAAGATCAATTTATGCTAAAACAGCATGGATGAACCTTGAAAACATCATCTTAAGTGAACCAAGTCAATCACAAGACATACTTTTTAAAATTGTACTTTTATGAGTTCTCTAGACTAGGCACACTCACAGAGACAGAAAGCAAAAATGAGGAGTTATTATTTAATGGGTACAGAGTTTCTGTTTGGGATGATGAGAAACTTGTAGAGACAGACAGTGATAAGGTACAATTTGAATTGTATATTCAAATAGTTAAATATGGTAAATTATATGTTACACATCTTATACAATAAAAAATATCAATAAACAAGAAATATCCTGTATATATTTAAATATAATAAACGGTACTTCTGGGAAAATTTTAAAGTACTTGATTGCTATATGTAAATCAGCTAATCCTTTAATTTTCTGCTAATGGCTGAATTTGTAATAATAATAATGCAACTCCACTGAATACAATTATATAGAAATTATACTCCTAAATATACTATACACCTGAAGTTATGTATTCACTGCAATTATACATAATTAAAAGCTATTCTGGGGCCTGATGGTGGTACAGTGGTAAAACATAATGCTCTTCAAGGTTAACCCACATGGAAAGGGTTCTCAAGTTTGTGCCTGGAGACCTTCCTGAGTATGCTGGTACATGCATGCCCCTGATCTGAGGCTGGTGTCTGGAGCTAGGGATGGATCATGATATCAAAACCCTGTTGCAAGTGCTGTTTATCTGTGTCTCTCTGTTCCTCTTGCTCATAGAAGAAATAAATAAATAAATTTTAAAATAAGAAAGCTATCTTGAGCCAGGCTGCAACCCTGTGGTTAAGATGGCTGTATTCCACATGACTTGACCACATCATTCTAGCTCTGGACTCAACGGCTTGAGTAACACACTGGGTACATATGTGTGCATGCCCAAAATGCTAAAAGAACTGAGAGATGGAGAAGGGATTGTAGCATAACCATGATCCAAGAGGAGGTGCTCTTGCTCACTCGCTCTCTAGCAGACACACGCAACTTTCTGGCAAAATATTTTTAAAAAGCTATTATAGGTATGAAATACATAATACCCCCACCCTCCCACACTCTTTATCTTTCTGGTATCTCAAATAGCATCTTACAAGTTTACTTAAAAGCATATATTCATTTCAATATGTACATAAAACCATTAACTATAAATGATTTAAAATCTTTAATACTGGGGCCGGCAGGTGGCATGGTGGTTGTGGTGCTGGACTCCCACAAGGCTGACCGCGGTTCAAGTCTTGGACCTTGTGGCTTGCTTTCTCACTTTCCCTTTCTCTCTTTCTGACCCTCACTGGTTAAAGTAAAACAAAAATAAATAATAATAACAAATAAAATGAAAAAATAATTTTTAAAAACCTGTTAAACCAGCAGGTGGTGTGGTAGTTAAGGTGCTGAACTCCCACATGGTCAATCATGGATCAAATCCTGGATCTGGCAGCTTGCTTTCTCACTTTCTCTTTCTCTATCTCTCTCTGGTGAGTGCATGTGCCCTAGAACAAACTAAAATAACAAGAATAAATAAAATTTAAGAAAAATCTGTAATACAAGTATAATATGATATACCTAATGTTTTACTTAACTGTGACATTCTTGTTTACTTACTAATTGGTCTATTACCACTACAATGGAAGCTTCAGGACTGTAGAGAAGCTACCTGGTACAAAATATTTATGATGGTACACATACTAAGTAGCTACATGACTTCTAATAAAGTAACAGTAAGCACTCACACATTTGATGAATGAGGATAAAATGAATGAATTATTATTCAAAATTAGAAAACAGCACTCCAAGTTGTCCACTATTTTTGAGGTAGGTACATATTTCAGAAAGCATGCTATTCATATAAACGATACAAAGACAAAAAAACAGACTGAGTAGCTATGAACAGTTTGCTAACTACGAAAACAAGTTAAACAACCATTTAAATATCAGCACCAGTAGTTCCCATTTTTTATTTATTTTTTTAACTTCTCAGAGGGCATATATGCTCACTGGAGAAGGGTCACGCCACAACCCCTTCTCCTTTATTTCTCCTTTCAGAACTTCCAGGATACAGGCACATGCGTTCAGAGTGTTTTTCAAGCTACCAGACCCAGGACTTAGGTGTGGATAAGGAAAGAAGAAGCCCCTACCAAACACTGTTACCCCAGTTTGCATGCAGGCACACCCAAGTTTGTACCCAGAGCCTTAACACTTCTAGACAGAAACAGTCTTCACTAAAATTTTATAACCACTAAACAAATAAGCAAATAATAGTAGCAAGCCTTGAGAGGGGAGGGGAAGGACCAGTACTTAGAGTTGCTGCATTATATAAAATGCTGAGTTTTAACATAGAGTTAAAGGCATGCAAAGAAACAGGAAAGTATAACCCATACGTCTAGAGAAAAAAAAATGCAGTTAAAAAAATACTACCTGTGAGCGTGACCAGATATTAGACTTAACAAAGACTTTAGAGAAGCCATTACACATATGTTCAAAACTTAAAGGAAACCATAATTAAAATAGTAAAAGAAAGGTATGATGAGTGACTGTTATAACAAAGAGCTACCATCAATATAAAGATAGATTTTTTTTTTTTTTGCTATAGGGTGTATGCACTCACCAGACAGAGAGAGACAGAGAGACAGAAAGTGAGAAATCACGCCCCAGGGAGGATGGCCACGCCACAATCCCTTCTCCTCCATTCTCCTCTCGGGATCTTGGGCACGTACACACACGTGCCCGGCGTGAGTTTAAGCCACCGGGTCCAGGACTCGAACCGTGGTCAACTAGGTGGGAGTCCAGCGACATAGCCATTACACTAACTGCTGGTCCCCTAAAGATAGATTATTAAAAAGAATTAACTCCCACATGGCTGACCGTGGTTCAAGTCCTGGACCTGGTGGCTTGCTTTCTCACTTTCTCTCTCTCTCCTTCTCTGTCTCTCTCTGATTAAACTGGAAAATAATAATAATAAATAAAGTTAAATAAAGTAATTCTTAAAAAAAAAAAAAAAAAAACCAAATAGAAATTCTGGAGTTAAAAAGTACAATAACTGAAAAAGTCTACTAGAGGAGTTCAAAAGTACATTTGAGCTAGTAGAAAAGAGTTGGTAAACCGGAAGACAAGTTTAAAAAGATTTGTAATCCGGAGAACAGAAAAAAGGAAAAAAAAGGGAACCAGCAGTTAGCGCAATGGCTATGTCACTGGACTCCCACGTAGTCGACCGTGGTTCGTGTCCCGGGCCTGGTGGCTTAAAACTCACGCCGGGCGCATGTGCGTGCGTGCCCAAGATCCCGAGAGGAGAATGGAGGAGAAGGGATTGCGGCGTGACCATCCCCCCTGGGGGGGTGATTTCTCGCTTTCTGTCTCTATGTCTCTCTCTATCTGTCTGGCGAGCGCACGCGCCCTACAGTGAAAATCTCTCAAAAAAAAAAAAAGGAAAAAACACAGAGCCTCAGAGAAGTGTGGACCATCATTAAGTATATCAACATAAAGGTAATGGCAGTACTAGGAGGACAAAGAGAGAAAGAAGAGTAAGTATTTGAAAACTGGCTGCATGAAAATGAGCTACAGAAAAACATGGATGAATCTTAAAAATACAATGTTGAATGAAAGAAGCAACACATAAAGAACATGATGCTGGTCACATAAATTTCAAAAGACAAA